CCTTAACAATCTTATTAGCAATCGCCTTACGTATCTTTCTAAAGGTTAAATAACACGTGTCAATATGGTCTTCAGTTTCAAGAACTTCGGCACTGGAGTCCTTAAAATTGAAGATCGCAATTACTTGATCAATTCTAAGTTCAATTTTAAACAAATAAAATTGGAGGAAGGTCAAATTCTATTTTTCCGTCAATTTTTGGCAACTCTCATTTACTTTCTGTGTCACCAACTTACCTACTGTCAAATGATTGTTATCGTGTCTTATTCAGTAGGAACTGTGTTATGTAAAGGTGGAAACTTTATACAGTACTTTATACAGAAAATTGACAAAGAAATTGACAACTGTAACCAATTATTATAGTAGACAGTAGTTCACCTTCACTTATGGTGTGTTTCTATAATCAGTTCATCTTCATAGTAATCAGTTTGGCGTTACAAATTCCAATAAATGCGGTTCGATTTCAGCAATTGCACGTCTGATGTCTGTTGAAACAGTCTCTGGGGTTAGATCGCAAGATCTCCCTGGCCAATAATGTCGATAGTAGTAATATAGGTCCGATTCTAAATCTAAAAGTCACTAGACGCCAAAAAGTCACTAGAAAAGTAACTAGGGTTGGAACTCTGCTAGCGAAGTTTGCGCCTGTGCTAACGTCAAGGTCAAGTGGTCGAGGTTTGTGCTCGAGATAAAGTATCGGAAGTTTGCGTCCGAGCTAATGTAATTTGGTTTGCGCCTGAGTCGAGGGTTCTTATCGATGGTAGTGTACGGCCGATTCTAAATCACACTAGATGAAAATCCCCCTAGAAAAGTCACTAGAATTGAATGGTTCTGAACTGCGCTAGCGAGGTTTGTGCCTGTGCTAACGTCAAGGTCAAGGGGTCGAGGTTTGTGCCCGAGATAAAGTATCGGAGGTTTGCGTCCGAGCTAAAGTAATTTGGTTTGCGCCTGAGTCGAGGATTCTTGTCGATGATAGTGTACGGCCGATTCTAAATCACGCTAGATGAAAACCCCCCTAGAAAAGTCACTAGAATTGAGTGGTTCTGAACTGCGCTAGCGAGGTTTGCGCCTGAGCTAACGTCAAAGGTCCTGGTCATAGAAAAGTTACTAGAAGTGGGGGGAAAAGTCCCCATAAAAGTTACTAGAATTGAGTGGTTTTGAACCTCGCCAGCGTCATGAAGTTTGCGCGTGAGCTAATGTAATTTGATCGGAGGTTTGCGCCCGGGGTAAAGTAATGGCTTACCATGCATAAAATTAAACGTTGACGCCAAGAAGTGAGCTCAGTTCTCGGATTCCAAAACTTGCAAACAACCCAAGCCGCAGAGCTGGGTACACAATTACTTGACCAACACCTGAAGGGCATCGCTTGACTCGTGGTAAGCTTCTATCACAGGTAATGGCACTTATGACTTAATCGGCCCACCGCTTCAGAACAAAGTGGCTATTATCAGAATGTTCGAGAGCCAAATACAAAAACCAACAAATTTGATAATATACTCTCGTCTCGATTCCAAATATTTACTTTGAACCTCCTAAAAATTTCTGTCAATATCTCAGTGAAAATCAGAGAATGGTTTCCTGTCAAAGTTAGAGATAGGTACAGAATGCACACGAAAACAACATAATGATGACAATCCTCTGTTGAAAAAGGAAGGAGGAAAAATTACTGAAAGGGCTAGAATAGACTGAATCACCCCATCTTCAATTAATCAAACCATAGAGAAGCTGTCAAATCGTTTAATCCTGCGTTAATAAATGGAAAGATTTAAATTGAATTTCTCAAGCCCAGGAAAAGAGACATTTGAAACCGAAGCAGCTGGTGTACAAACGCTGAAATAATTAGGCAGGTATTTCGAATCAATTTGAATTTATAACTAGAGGTCGCGAACCCTGTCTGCTTTGGTATCCTCATACTTTCACTTAAATAAATTGAAAAAATTTCAAGAATTCGACATTTGATAGTGTACACCATAAATAATTAAATCGTACGCAATCGATCATAAATTTTTGAAGATCTTCGCGAAAGTGCGAGATTATGTTAATTATATAATTACTTTCTAACAACATTTTGTTTTTGGCAACGTGAAAACCTTGACCCGTTAATAAAATTTAAAAAAGGACGGTCCACTTGCGACTCTGGAAAAAAGTATAGTACGTGGAAGAGGTCGTCTATTTTCATCGCTAATAGTTTAAATTAAAGGCGCGCTTCCGTGTTCGATTTGTAGTATTTCTCGTTTTGTAATGACGTATTTTCCAATTTTTTTTCTGTTCGGCAGTGAGACGGGAAGAGGCGGCCAGCGGATAACGACGTCTCCAAATTTAGACACGGTTATGCTAAGAATAATCGCAAGCACATAGGATTACATTTTATGCAAGTGATTCACTTTTGTTGTTTTATTGGCAGTTTAGGCTCGGGTTGGTCTTTGATTTTAAAATATAAATTAACTGAATGCGGATATCGGGGTTCCTTCTTGTTCTCAATGCGGGTGTGTACGTAACAATGCAAGGACGTGTCACGTACGTGCGGAAGGTTAGGGTAAACATGATGATTACATTACACGAGGAAATTGGTACATTATGGGGTGGGGGTAAATTGAAACCGAAATGAGGCGAAACTGAAATGAATCATCTTTAATTTGTTGAACATCGTGCCAAAGTTTGAACAAACAAAAAGAAATAAAATATGTAGGAGTTTGTTAGCTGTCTAGTTTGCGTTCAAGTTACCAGGATATCAAATACGTACATAGTAAATTATATTTGGAATTTTAAGTTAGAGGAATACCACGTGAGTGAGCGCCTTGTTTTGCTTTGAGCACCGTGCATTTATTTTTCAAAAAAATAGTGAACTTAATTGTGTACAGTGATTCAAGATCAGATCATATTTCACAGAAAGAATGAATCACATTCTCTTTTATTCCTTATCGTCGATAACTAATCCTTTACCGACTTGGTGGCGCCGCGATGTTCTTGAAGGATCGCCACAATATTAAGCTAATTCCTATGGAGATTTTTACGGATATTTGTACGATTTACAAACAAATTCCAAAAACCTGATTCTGAGTGAAATTTCTAAATCGGGCTTTGAGACAAGAAGCATTAAAGTGATTAAAGTGATTTTTGAAGCATATTCACCATGAAAGTACTACTGATGAATCTTGAAGGTATCGCAGAGGAGAAATTTTTAAAAAACTTAAGGTCCAAGGTCCCTAGATACGTTGAGAGTAGGAAATTCGATAATCGAGTCCTAAGGATATTTATAAAAGGATCCTTAAGGGCCTTAGCAGACCGTTGTGGAGGTTTATAAAGTGATACCTAGTATTTCTTAGAAGACGTTTTCAACAAACAGTCGGCGGCTTCCAAGAAAATGTATAAGAACGTTCAGCAGGCTTCTGATGTGTCACAATAAAGGCCTAGGAGGTTCCTAGTGACCTAAGGAGTAATCGCGGTTTTTAAAGTTTTAAGGATACATTTTAAGGAGATTTCCGAGGGGATTCTTGTTTATTTATGGATTGAGAGATCAGAAAAGGTTAAAATTAAGAATAAATTATTTGTAATTGAGAAGAGGCAAACTGTAATGAATTCTAGCTATGAAGATCTCAAATTCTCCACAGGATTCATGCAATTGATTTAATCAAATTTCATAAACATACCTAAAGAAGAGACTTCTAAATCGATTCTTAAGTGCATTCTTATAGCCATTATTAAACTATCGACAGTTTTAGTTACAATTTTACCACTTGAGGTGATTTAAATATACGTATCCCGCGATTTATTTAAGTTTAAATTTTTCTTTAACGCGTAATGAGGAATTCGCTGGATGCACACGTTTGCTTCAATAGTCTATATAAATTTAGGTCTGCAATTCGACACTTAGAGAATTTTGAATTTTCTCAGCTTACTATGACCTAATAGGAAACCTTTTATGTATATTCAAAACCTAACTTCTCCAATCAGTAACTCGATGTAACATATGGTACGGAATATTTCACTTTACCCGAACCTCCCTTAGCATTCGAAACTACCGTTCGGAAATAAGATGACTAATTCAAAACCTAAATTCACTTTTACGTAAATCCGACGATCTCTTCCCTATGACTTAATTCCTGAGTAAATTTTTCATACTCACAATGGTGCATTAACTTAAAAATGACGATGTCTAAATTTTCGATTGGTTAATATCCCATGCACCACCAATCGCGAACGGTTGTTAATCAATCCCACCTCTGTTCAGAACCTGCACTTTCAGCAAATTCCACGTGGACTTTGGTTCGAAATATCTTTCTTAAAACGGTTGTAGTCCTATCCCTACCTCCCGCAATCGAGACGCAATTAAAGAACAAAAGTCTCATTGAAAATGCGTAAAAATGACACATATTTCGTTGACTCCAATCATCTAGATAAATTCTTTACGTTAATAAAAACCAATAATTGTTTGGGAAGTCACTTTAGAACCTTTACACTTTACGTATTTCTGCGGGAAAATCGAAAAGAGCCGCTCAACAGTTCTAAAATCTTTACGGGAACTCGTTGTTGAGAGTAGGGTCAGGGTTTTCATACAGCGGACTTACCTATTGGGCATTTGTTATGATAATGAAGCGGTCAAAAAACGACGAAGAATTTGACCATCCCACTATGCTCTTAGATTCACCCAGAAATTGAGAACAAATCTGCGCAACTGTAGTAATTTATTGTCCATTTCGGAAAGAATTAATTACGTTGTACGCTACGGTCGCGTTTATATAACTCGATGGCACAAATTGGCCGTTATTGCCGTGATGTAAACTCTTAAAACGAAAGTTCGCCAGCTGATACAAATGTCGCCGTTTAACGACGTCCCCATAACGATTATCCATTTTCTTTTCAAGCGTAATCATTTTACGCGCGTGACATTTATATTACAATAGTAAATTTCGCTAACTTAATTACGCAATTCGCTACTTTTAACGACAGAAATAAAATTCAAACGAATTAGAGCCTACGACACAATTTAAACGGCATTGACTTCCATATATGTCGACACTGAATGGACACGGCAAGAGAGGATTTTTTAAACTTCAGTAAGTGCTTCGGAGGCACGAATTACTGATGGTGATTGTTAATCTTTTCGCTTATAATCACGTACTTTACTTGGATCGCGTTATAAAATAGTCACTTTAATGACTGAGAATCTACCTTTTGTGCTCTTCTTTGGTATTTGCGGGACGTCGAGATATAGGTATGTGTTTTACTGTAATTTCACACTGAGTGGGGTGCTAAAATCATTTTGATATGTCCTTTCGATGTCACTGAATTGAATGGGGTGCGAAACATCTCGAATTGTGAAACTGTATACCATTTATCACCAACAGTTTAATGATGTGTACCAATTTTTATTTGAAATTGAAATGAGAGTGTCATCTGAGGCTGAAATAAAAAATCTTCTTGGGTCCCTTTTGTAAATGCAACAAAGTAGTTTGATTTGTACCTATCCTGCCTTTGCAGCTTTCACAAACACGTGTAATTTAGGGTATGCTGCCAAATCTGTTCCATTAATTAATCACAGCATTGTTTGATGTTTTGAACGCATGCACCAATTGATAGAAGATTTAAACAGGTTTGACATTTCTTTCGTATTAGCTATCCATAACACTTATTCTTTATAAAATGATTTACTGGTTTTGGATTTTGTACCTAACAAATTTTTCTCTGCTTCTGCAACAAGCAACTGAATGGACGGTGTTTATCTTCTCCAATCATGTTATTTACAAAGACGGTGATTTGTATAAGTCGTGACATTCTATGGCAATCATGGAATTACAGTCCACGTAATTAGAACTAGAAACTAAACCATAGGCATTTGGGAAATTAAGAGCCCTTTCCAATGATTTGGCACTCGACCTAACGTTCAATTTAAAATTGTTGAAGGGGTGGCAACCTTGCTGCGGGGATGTAAATTTGAAGTAAAAAATGTCCCCCTTGCTACAAAACTCGACATGTTTTTACGTTTTTTCCATCGACTATTTCCTTGCGAGTTATTCAGTCGGTTTCGTTTTCGTTGTTCCACCCTGTATTACTGAAAATATTATCGTTCGCGTTCACGCTCCAAATCTAATTATTTATCTAGGTTTTTACTATTGTAATTACTCCTGGTACATTTTCTTATTCAAATGATTAACACACCTCTGGATGTTAAATAAAATTTAACCCACACAAAAGAGGGGCATCAATGAACTTAAAAATTCCACTTTATAATAATTACTGAGAAAAAAATCAGCAAAATCTTTTATTTGCGTTGGTCTTTCATTCAGAGGCAAATATACAAATCGGTTCACGGAATAAACTTCCGTGGATCGACTTCTTCAGGAATGTTAAAATGACTTTGAGGATAAAATGTTTATACAAAATCCCCAAAAATACAATGCAAAAAATCTAATTAACAGACTTTTATTGATGTGTTGGGTTTTCCAATTAAGAGTTGATTCTCTCCTTTTGAAAATATTGAAACCTTGGTATATTGCTCGTTGAAAGTGAATTCTGAGAAACGGTTGATTACTCAAATTAGGAACAAACTGGGCTTCAGATTTCTCGAATTTTAATAGGTAGGGTAGGGAAATGTCAAAATTACCCAGATAATTTAGGGTTTTAACAGCCCGCAAAAACGCGAATTATTCGTCTTTAATCTTTTTACCGGTTACCATTTTATTCCGAATCTATTATCACCTCGTATACACAAGAGAGGTGCACAAATTTGATTAATAAACTTGTTCTTTATCATCACTAGCCACTTCAAATGTAGCGCAATGAAATGTGATGCACTTTAAGCACGGCTTGTAATGCCAAATCACATTAAATTTAAAACACTCACGACAATAATTTCGTCGAAAAGCGGTACAGTTTTCCCGTGGAATGAGTAATTAACTTCAACTTCGCGATAAAATATCACGTACAACTACGCGCCTTCATCTCGATCCTTTAATTGAAGATAAAATTTTCCGCGATCTAAAAATGCCGCACACCATTTACCGGCATCAACTCTGTTCTTTACACGTGCGAAGGTATAGCACACAAAGTGCATCTCTCATGCTCCACCAGAGCGGATCGTTTTTACTCTTATCCGGTGGTACACTCGGTTCTTATCTTAACGCGCTTCATTCTCTCGCATATTAGTTCTGTTCTCTTTCAATATGGAGCGGTACACATATAAATTTCTTATACCAGCATTTTTTGTAAAATTTGAAATGTGAACTACCTGTTACAAAGTTCATTTGCCTTATTTCTCTCCTTTCGACCTCCGCCCATCCGTATCCATTTGTTTCATTTTTGTTTCTTTCCTTTAATTTCTTTCACCAATATATTGCCTTCTCTTTATCTACTTTCCTCGAATTCGAATCTTACCGCCTTGCGTCCAGATTTTATCCTTATCTTCTCCATGTTTGCTTCCTCTATGTAATTTGGTGTCCTTCTGTTATCCATTTGCAATACCATCCCATTCGTTCCAACCCCATATCTTCGTTCTCTTCTCACCATTGCTGCGAAGAGGTATTTTCTTATTCTGAACTCGTTTTTGAATTTTTTCTTTCCTATTCAGAACACCTGACTCATCACCAGTTCTCCCTTTCTCCTTAATTCCCTTATTTGCGCATTTGGCTCATTATTTCGTTGTGTCTGGTGGTAATCTAAGTATTATAAGTTCTGTTACTTTCTCTACTCTTTCCTCTCTTCATTTCCATTCTATTCCCCCCCCCCCGCCCCCCATCTCATCGTCTTCGATTTTTCAGCATTTTTCTTTCACAATACCTCTCCATTCATGCCTTCATTTGTTCTACCTCTCAGACCATTATTACCGTGTTGTCAGCGTATGACAGGGACCATCCTTCTTCTCACTATGATTCCTCTACTTCACCCTGTCTTAGTATTTTCATCATATCTCTAAATTTGGGCTAAGTGGACATCTCTGTCTCAGTCTTTTTAAAATTCAGAACACTTAAGGCTCTCCAGTCTCCATATATCTCCTCTTGATTCTGTCCTTTATTTTATTATCTATTTTCCCATCCATCATTTTTCACGCTCTTTCCCTTTCCGCTGTCAAACGCTGCCTTTAAATCCATGAAGAAGACGTTCACTTTTCCGTCGTTTTTCCCTTTTTTATTCAGCCTGTGTGATACATATGTACAATCGATCATTCGTCTCCCTTTTCTGAATCCAATTTGTGTTTCATCTAACATCGTCTTTAGTCTTCTATTTGTATTTGTCCTCCACCTGCTATGTTTTTCGCTTTTCCTCTCTTTATTACCTTCCAAAAGTCCTTCTCTGTTTTTTTTGTCTGTTTTCTTATTCTTTCTGTTTCCTAATCTTTTTTCCTTACATTTTCCTTTGCACCTTCTCCTGGTCCCCAATTCCTCTGTCTTTCCTTATCTTTCATTCTCCATCGGTGTTCTGTATCTGTTTCTCTCTTCTGTACACTCTCTGTCCCACCACTCTTTTCTATTATCTCTCCCTTTCTCCCTGTATCTTCCTTCTTCCTTGTATCTTTCCATTTCTTGATCTTTTTATCTCTTCTTTTAGACTCATTTCCATCGGTTGGTGATTCGATTATAACATTAGTATCCTTTTACTTCTTCTATGATTTTTTCTTTGACTAATATGTAATCAATTACCGACTCCTATCTTCTTTCCACATATTACAATTCTTCATCCTCTCTTTCCAGTAACAGTTCCCCCTCTTTGTTGCATTTTTGACCTCTTGACTTTCGATCTTGTGTTCCTCTTCCCATCTCTTCTTATTTTCTATTTTTCCCTATTCTGGCCTTTATATATTCCCCAAATATTAGACCCTCCTCCTCCCTTTCGTGTACCATATTTTCTATTTAATTTTTTAACTATTTCAATCCTTCTCTCTTATATATAGTTATCACTGTCTGTAGGTATTCTAGGGAATAAGGAACAAAATAAAACAAAAGAATTTATAAACAAACCCAAAGCGAAGAACCGGAAGATTTTGAAGAATATTGAACTTCAAACATCTTGAAAGATTAGAAAAATACTAAGAGAAGAATTGAACAAATTTGACGGATAAGCAGAAATGAATAAATATGAGAATCCGCAGGATCACACGGATTAAAGGGTTGGGAGAATTTAAAAATGTGAAGAACCTTGGAGGAATTCGAAGAAACGGAAAAACCTAAAAAATGCAGATGATAGTTTTTATAAAACGGAAAAACCTGGAGGAAAGAATCTGAACGATCTGACAGACAGGGTAACCTAAAGGATCCAAGAGATTGGAAGAAACCGGAAAATCGAAAAAATAGAAGAAGACATTAATTAATTCAATATTTCCTCGCTAGTAATGTATCATTTTCCTGATTTTTATTTTAATAACTTTTACCCAAAATCGTCAGGAAACCTTCATTTTCATGCCTGCTTTATGTCAGGAAATTTTCGTTTCCATGACAGAGGCAGACCAGACTACTTTTCCTGCCGCCTGCCACTTCACTGTCCGCACCTGTCACTTTTCCGGCCGCACTGATCACAGCCAAATGTCTAATGACACCTGTTAATACTGACAGATTGACTTTAATCAAAAGTTCTATTAAAATTGAAATTTTATATTAAAAATGATGATTTCGGGAAAAATTTAACACATAGCTCGTCAGTAAAATGACATTCTTGACTCGGAAATTAAAGTACTCAGTCATATGCAAATCTCCTGGTCTAAATTGTAAATTCCCTTGGGTGAGACAATTCGTTTTGTCAAAAGAAACTAAAATAGCACTATTTTGCTATGGCAACCTTACCCTATCACGCCGCCTTTATTAATAAAAATTATTGAGTGTATATCATATTATTATATCGATGGCCAAGGGCCAACCATCAAGACACGCTTTGCCTTGTGCAATTATGGAAAAAATTACAAAGTTTCTGGTTCAAAGTGAACTAGTTTTTACTTTCTACCAACATGAAAAACTCTTGGTTCCATTGTTGCTACTTCGTTTTGTTAAAAGATAAGTTTAAATCGCATGATTTTCTATACCTAAGGCAACCTTACCCTACCATGCAACCTTTATTAATGATAATGAAAATTCGGGAGCGTGTTCCAAATTGTTAACGATTGTTTTCACTTTAGGGTGACAGTACTGTATAATGGTCTCAAAACAGAGAACTTAGATTGAAAAAAGAAAATTTTTAAATATGTGTCCCATGTGGTTTGACGGGTTCAGACAATTTGGTTTGATATTT